AGAACCTGAACATTAATGAAGCTCAGTAAAACTGTAATCCCCAAAAACTGTACCCCACACTTTTTAAAAAGTCCATTCTCGCTGAATAAACTCTTTCCTGTGCAGTTGGTGTTCTGCTTTCATTACGGTGTGCCTGCTGGTTGCCTGTTACAAATTGGTGTCGGAGGTGGTCCTTCTGCTATTAACATGGAAAATTCATTCGATTACGGTCTTCCCAGGCTATTTCCAGAAGAAAGTGGTATCACCACGCCGATCGTGCCCAAGCTACCTCGTCCTCCAATGTTTCAATTGTCATCTGACTACCCTAGATGTAAAAACCGCATTCACTCATTCCTCAGTATTTCTCCACCAGCGCACCACTTCCTTCATATCCTCAATGCCCTATCAGAAGATTCATTCGCACGCGAATGTGCTGCTGGATTCAGCAGCACAAAGTCCATGGTCGAAAATTGGAAAATTTTGGATAATTGTTTTGATCTTCAATTGGTGCCTCAATTAGTGCTGGATCATCACCAGTAAAAGCTACAGGAAACGCCAGTCCACAGGTTAGTGGCACAGGTACACAAAACACACGGTTAAGAGATGCGTGTTGCTTAGCTATCACTTGTTTGGCTACACATCCCACTGCTGACAAACGTCTTGCTGGGCATTTACCAGCTCCCTTGTCTGGACTGCTAAACTTATGCGACGAGTGTGAGTCAGCTGACTTTTTGGAAAGTGATAATTCAGGTGTTACAACTCCCGCTGAAGAAGCTGCTATCACTGTGCAAATGCTTGTTATACGTGTCCTATAAAATCCATGTTCTCGTGAAGCAGCTGCGGGACTTTTACCTGGTTTGCTACCAGTTATTATAGAACGTGCACCTTGGTCACTTAGTGCAAAGACAATTTCAAACAAAAGTGGACGCCAACCGCCCAGTGAATTAAGACGTCTAGCACTTGAACTTCTCTTAGCAGCTACCCGCACAGCGCGTCCATTTGCATTGTCAATGGAGTTGAAGATTGAACGATCAATTCATGGTTATTTGCTCAAAATCAACTTCCCCAATTTTCGCGGAGGCATCAATACGACAGTCATCGTCTCATCGGTCGCTGTTCAGAAAGAAGTCAGTAGCAAACCATCAGAAGTAATCTTATGATTTATTATTGTAATATTTGTTCACAGACCTTAGTTCAATTATTATTTTTATATGTTGGTGTAACAATAAAGAATTCTCAAGCGGCCAATCGGTGTTTTGGTTTTTTCGTCCGTTATAACTAAGCGTTTCTGAAAAACTTCAAGGAACAGCGTGAGCACGAGCGTAGCAAGAGCTGGGCATTAACGGTTTATGAGACGTGGCTGACAGTTTCTGATGGTAGAAACAGACTTTGGCGGATTCAAACAGTTGGTGAAAATTTGGATAGTCACCGTTCATCTTTCCTGGTGCCGGTCAAGTCCTCTTTGAACAAGCAATATCTGGAACTTTTTGGAATTGGGTCAAGTTCAACAATGCCTGGGTCAAAGAAGGGACAGAGCGTCTTGGATGCAAACAGGAAAGTAAATCATGGTGACTTGTCTGTTACTTGTAACGATGTGTTTGATGTTAAGCATGATATGGTTGATGTTACTGTTTCGCCGTTCAGGGATAATAGGAACATCAAACTCCCTAAACTAGAACCACGGAGTTTTGATGGAAACCCGGCTGATTATTTACAATTTGTAAAGGAGTTTGAGATCATGTTGAGTGGTTTATTATTAAATGATGAATTGAAGTTAATGTATTTGATGAGATATTGCACTGGAGATGCTTCAAGAGCTATAAAGTGCTGTACGTTTATGAAGCCAAAAGAGAGCTACTACGAGGCTATGAGCATATTACGTCAAAGGTTTGGAATACCTTCGATGATTGCAGGGAAATTATTCGAGGCTGTTAAGGGTAATGGTGGTCAATTACAGGATGACTCTCAGGCACTCACTGAGTTTTTGGATAATCTGTTGATTTACAAGAATGCATTAATTTCAATGAATTGCATGAGTGACCTCAACTCGAGTTCTATACTGGAAGTAATGGCAAGACGCCTACCTACTCGACTGCAAAGGAAGTGGGTGAAGATGAGCTCCCGTATGGAGGATGAGTGTATCGAGCCAAAGTTTGATGATATCCTGAAACTGGTAAATACTTGTGTCAATCAATCTATGATCAAGTTCGCCAGTCTATTAAATCTCACCCTTAGAATAGAGCAGTCTGAGAGCCAAATGCAATCATTGATGACGAATAGGCCTCAGAGAGGTGGATATCGAGAAGGCTCCATGATGTCTAGTAATGTATATAGACCTAGTGAGTGTAACAGTTTTCGTAGTACATCCTCGACAGATAAGTTACAAGATGCAAGACAAGCACGGTTGTGTTTTACACGTTTGCAAGAGGTGCATACAAAAGTGAACTGTGAACCAGTGAGCAAGTTCAGTGATAAGCTCAATGTAAACTCCAGGCCTTACTCCGAATTGTGTGACGATAACGGTGCGGTGAAGAAGTCTGTAGTTGCAACTGGTAAGCCATTGTTGAATAGAGTGTCACAGGATAGAGTTATTGTTTCAGAGTGCAGTTCTGACCCTACAAGTTTACAAGGTATTACTAGTCAGAGTGAAGTTATAAAACCTTTTAGGATTTGCGAGGAGGAACCAAAATTGTCTACTTCTGTTATTAAAGAGTTTGAAAATGATGAAGTTGACGGTAAAGTGAATATTCGTGATAATGATCATGATACTTCACAGTTGTCTTTGGTTGAACATGATTAATGAGGCGAATGCCTACTACTGCTATGTTGAACAAAGTTTCTGTACAACTTGAACGTGAAGTAGAATTAAATGCAGATGCAGTTGCAGAAGGTATGCTAACTTGTGAGACCGTCAGTGTAAGTGATCAGCATGTAGCCCATCTATCAAGAGGTGCTAGTGCTAAACCTGAGCTGGTAGGAAAAGACAGCAGTGGTGGTGGTCTTGCATTTAGACAACTAACTAAAAGCCGAAAAAGAACAGCTTCTGATCCACCGCTAACTTCATGAACTGATATCAATCAGTCGTCGTTGGTGCTGTCATCCACAATGAGAAGGACGCCCATCAACTCAAGTATCTTGTGCAATGACTATGCTAGTATCAGTTCGTTTGAGAGGACGAATATGAATGGTCAGTTTAGTGAGGATAAGCCAAGTGTAAACGAGAGAGCAATTGTTAAATTGACGTGCACGAATAAAAGCATTTCTAGTTTTTAGTTACTATTTGAATGCTATTATCTTTGATGTAAATTACTCTGTTTCTATACTTGGTTGATGAGATATGTCGTGTGTTTGTTGGTCATCTATATTCTACGATACAATGACATGAGCGTGTTACCGTTCAGATTTGAGGACATAGCTCATAGAAGGAAGTTAGCAAATGAACTCTGCGACGATTTTCCAACCTAGGGCGTCAACATGAGATGGGTTGTAGGCGTACTGGTGTAAGTCCTACAGTTCTTCAAAGGGTAGCGCATCAATGAGCAGTCCAATGTGCTTGGTGTATGATTTTGTACATATGTTCATATTGTATATACTGAATTGATATCATCTTTCATATATCTGTTGGTAATTCTGTTTGTGTCCGGACGACTTCCACTTGGATCATCAACCTGAGGAGGAATGTAGGCGTACTGGTGTAAGTCCTACAGTTCTTCAAGGGTAATTTGTCATGCCGGAATCCACAACATTTGATGTGTTGATTGTACATATGTTTGTGTTAAATAGTTGTGTGAGTTCCAATTGATGTAATTGTTGGTTAATCTTGCTTGAGTCTGGACATTCCACTTTTTTTTTTTTTTTTCTGTGAAGGGTTGCAGGCTTACTGGTGTAAGTCCTGCAATTCTTCAAAATAATTCCACCAAGACATGATCGGCGAGGTTGTTTGTACATTTTGTATATACGTGTGGTGTGTCATATCAATTGGTGTTTTATGGTTTCATTGTGTTTACTTGTTGTTTTCGTATCTTGTTGTTATTGCGTAATTTTTTGAACATTTTCGTCGTGATTACTTCTGAAGTTGTTTCGAGTCTTCTACATCCATGAATGAATTGATTGATGTTAAAGACAGCAGATGGGTCGTATACGCCAGGGAGGCTAGGCTATTGCTGAGAATGAAATGCACACGGAGATAATTCTTAGCTGCGGTCCCACACGCCGGGGAGAAAGAGTGTAAACGACTGAGGCTCGCATGCGTCACCGCTACTAGAACTGAGGAAGAATGAGTGACAAGCGATTTCAGTGGTAATTGGTAGTGAGTGGATAAGAGGATATGCGTAGAGTATCATGAGTTGGTGCTATGTTCACGTTGCATTCTGCAAGAGTCATTCTAGCAGGTGGCGATTGTGTTGTAAGATGTCAAGAAGATCTCTTTAACTGGAAACGCAGGCCGTCAGCGATGTGTGAGATTGTGCTGTGAGTATGCTTGTGGTGTGTTGGCTTTTCTGTTTGTTTTCCATTTCAGCTCTGTCCGTGTGACCCAGGTTCTCGCAATGGCATCCAAATCAACGTGTATTGGTTGTGAAGTAAAAAAGGGATGGATCCCTTTTTTGCCGGGGAGTGTCAATGTAGTTGAAGATTGAACGATCAATTCATGGTTATTTGCTCAAAATCAACTTCCCCAATTTTCGCGGAGGCATCAATACGACAGTCATCGTCTCATCGGTCTCTGTTCAGAAAGAAGTCAGCAGAAAACCATGAGAAGTAATATTGTGATTTATTATTGTAATATTTGTTCACAGACCTTAGTCATACGTGATTTATATGTTGGTGTAACAATAAAGAATCCTCGAGTCAACAATTGGTGTTTTGGGTTTTTCGCCCGTTATTACTAAGCGTTTCTGAAAACTTCAAGGAACAACGTGGGCGCGAGCGTAGCAAGAGCTGGGCATTAACGGTTTATGAGACGTGGCTGACATACATCGCGTACTGCTCTTCCACAACTGATATTATCTGGACTTCAAGCTATGAATTCTATGCCTCCATCTGTTGTTTCTAACTTAATGCGGCAACCTATTCATCATTTACATATGTATGCGCAGAACTTACCTAGCATACTGAATCTTGCTCCGTATTTGTCACTAAAGTCAAGTAGTTCAGTGGGAGTTGGCGTTACTTAGTCTAATCTTACCCCGTTTTCTACATTGACTCAGTTAAACTCAGGATCCAATCGCAAGGAAATTCAAATGCAGAGGTTTTAAGACTATCTGTGCACCTACTTGATGACATTTGCTTATCGCGTCTTATTGTGCCCTTCACTGAGCTAATAAAAGCTGGTGGTGGCTCTTCTACTGCATCCATAGGTGCAAGCAGTGCCACTGGTGGTAGTCGGGGAACAGGAGTTATTGGTTCTGCTTCTGTTGCAACTGCGACTTGTGTTTTTATTCACCATTTGGCTACGGCGAATGCGAGTGCTTTGGCTATTTCTCCTAAGACAAATACATGCTTGAGATGTGCGACTTCCAAATCACAAACTACATCGAATGGTCTAGATAACCCAACTTCATCTCCAGTTCACAAAATGCACAACTCACCACCTAGCTCATCCCACTCATCACCTTCTTCTTTATATGGTGTGTCTCCTCCAACTCCTCCAACTGGTTCTGTTAATGAAGTTAATTCCGGCGCAACAGACATATCTACCTCTGGAAGTCGATCTCGTGCTATGCTTCATGTTCAAAAGCATACTTCACTGACGAATGGATCGGCTTGCTCACCCGATGGAATGGGACTTTCCTCTACAGTTTCGGCAACTCAGCTGAATTCTACGTGCTGTAATTCCACAGTTGGAGGTTTTGCTTCTGTGGCTCCCCACACTGGAAAACTCTTGGTAGCATTGCTGTCAGCTCCTCCTGGGGCTTGTCGTCATCCGAACTCATCTGGGAAGATTGTTCAAGAAGAGATGGCTTGAACCCTTGCCAGTCTACTAAGGTTCGCCAAGAACACCAGCGTTACAAAAGTATTCAATCGTGTTCGGTCGTGGCATTTGCAACCTGAACAAGATACAGCCTCTCCAGAGGGGACGTACTAGTGTAACAACAGAAGACAAGGGCCAGGCAACAGATCGTTTTATTACGAAAATCAACACGTATTTATACATCTTTCAACTACATTATTATAGACAAGCGCAGTCATCTGATTGGTTGTTTAGGTAGACAAACGCAGGCTTCTGATTGGTTGTTTCGGGATTCCTTGACAAATAGAGTTCTCTCTGCGAATCATATTCTGCCACGTTAACTTTGCTGTGATTGGTTGTTGACTCAGGCTTGTTCATATTTTCTCACGCATGCAAATACGTCATTAGCAGTCAGTTGTTTTGCCAGTTGAAATTGTGTTTAGCAGATTTCTGTGCACCTAATTTGTCACTTTCCTGACTCATCAATGCACAAAACTGTGTTTTGCGTAGTTCAAAGTTATCATTATTTAAAAGCTTTATGTTAGTTACCTAATTTTTCTGATTAGTAATGCGCTGTCAATGAAGTCCCGATTTCTCTCTACCGTCAGATACCTCTCTATTGATTGAGGTTTTCTTGTCCGTTACCTAGCTTAATCCGCATGAATTGAGCGATTACAAGCAAAGTCATGAACCTGCTGGCCGCTCCATAAACCGACTGATTAAAGCCACAAATCACATGAAAATTATAGGTAGAGCTGTAAGGCATCAAGCTTATTAACAATGCAATAGTGACTGCTTCCCCGGAAGTGACAATAAACATCTAGCTAGTTAGCATCATTTGGTTTGTACCAAACAAACTACAATTCAATTTTGCATTGTTTATCTTTGATGGTAGCCACTAATGAAACTCTCAAACCTCCGAGTCACAATTCCTTTGGAATGTGCTCAAACATTAGTTCCTAACAAATTCAAAAAAGCACATAATATGATTGGTTCAGCTCGTCTTACTATCAGCTACGTTATTTCGATTGCAGCTATTTTCAAGAGAATTTATTCAGTTCCTCAAAATATTTCCCGCACATTCATGGTGAATTCGCTTACTTTTCAAAATAGTTCGAATGAAACTACCCCATCTGCGATTTTGATGTACTACTGATTTCTTTCATATGACTAGATAAAAACCACTCAAATGTAATACTAGCATCTTATAGCCATATTGATGGAATGAAAAGAGCAGATGTCTGTTGCCCTAGACTAGAGCCTACTTCACAGGCTGTGTATCCGGTTTGACCAACCTCAACTTTGTTTCACTAAAATTCTGAACATCATAATAGGCAACATAGAGGCACAATTACATTAAATGGCTTTCTCATTTTGATTGATGGTTGTTTCACTGAATAGTGTATGATGGGGTTATCTGTGTAGCACTCTTCTTGAATAAAATAGAACGAATTTACATCTCCATTGTTCTACATGACGTTGTAAATTTTGCCTCAATGTCAGCATTGAGTCAGATGGTTTGTCAACACTGAGTTTTCAGTGTGAAGGTTGCACTGATTTATTGCCCTAACTAAGTGATTATGAAACGTTTTTTTATTTAATAATTCAGGTGGTAAAAAGAGTAAGCTATTCTGACAGAATCAAATTTTCCACTTGGAACTATGAATTTAACTAGATGAATTTAGAATAAAAACAGAGCAAAGTGGCATTCCTGCTAGTGAATTCGGTTTACAGTGAGAAAAGTGGTGAATCAACAGTTTAAGTGGGAAAGTATTTCTGTTAAACCTAAAAGATCATATAACTGAGTTGTTCAAATGGAATATGATATAAGGTAATGGGATTCGTAATAAAAACAGTGAACTCCTGCTACAAAGTACCACCTACTGGTGCCCATAACTCAGCATTAGGCATTCTTTTTTTTCACTGTTACTTGAAGTGAGCACAACTAGCGAGTCTGATATTGTTTTTCGCCTGTGCGTAGTGTTGTGTTTACTAAATCATACCTCAGTACCTCGTACATGTCATTATTATCTGAACAACGGAAGGAATCTCGATGTCACCTAAAAAGCATTATCGTGTCTATCCTTTGTCAGTACTTTGACAAGTAGAATATTTGTTTTTATTACTTGCGCGCAACAGCGCTTTGACATAAAAACAAGCCGAAAAGTCAAATTACTTCGGATTTTCAGTCTTCTCTGGTACTACGAACCAATCAAATCACACAGTACAGTTCAGAATGAGAAAAAATATTTGCGTTGTAGGATGAGATGAGTGAAGTAATCTTCACACTCAAAGATGGATATATCTTAGGAAGCAGTTCACTGAAAGTAGACAATTAATTACTCTTTTAAAACAATTAGCTTCTTTTTATGAATTTAGATACAGCAATAAGAATACCTAATTTGTCTGAATCGTGTAATGTATTTGCGCAACACATTTCGAACAATCTGATCACACACGAACTTTTCATAGGAATATATATGAAATTAATAAAGAGGTAAGAAGTGAGAAAATAGACTAGTTAGGTCAAATGATGTTGCTATGGGTTCATCAGTCTCGCCAATAGTCGCCGATCTTTACATGAATAAATTCGAAAATAATATCTTTTCAAGCATACTCACTCCTAAAATATGGTTAAGATATGTGGATGATATTTTTGTAGTACTAAAACGAGATCTACACAATTCATTCCTGGAGAAAATAAACTGTGTATCTCCCAAAATCCAGTTCACTTCGGAAGCAGAATCAGACATCGGTGAACTTCCATTTCTAGACTGCCTAGTTAAGAGAAAGGAAAACGGACATTTTAGTATATCCATATTCAGGAAGAAAACCCACTCCAACAAATATTTAGACTTCAAATCATCACACCCCATCAGCGCAAAGATTTCAGTTGTTTCAAGTCTTCTTAGACGAGCACACTCCCTGATAACAGATGAGCAAGAAAAAGAAGAAGAAATTTCAAACATCACTAAAACTCTCAAGCAAAACAACTACCCAACGAACTTCATCAACAAAATCAACACAGACATTAAGTATGGCCGAAAATGCATTCCGAAAACATGGACTTCAACAGTCGTCATTCCATATAGAGCAGAGACGTCAGACGATATCAGAAGAGTACTTAATCAACTCGACATTAGAGTTTTCTTCAAAACATCGGACACACTTCAAAACAACCTTGTCCATATAAAAGACCAAATCCCGAAAGATTCTCTATCTAATTGTGTCTATAAAATAAAATGCTCGGAATGTGATGCGATCTACATCGGACAAACATCTCGAGAAATCAAAATCAGAAGAAATGAACACCGTAGAGCTTCTCTTCGACCACCAAGAAATCCAGTTGAACTAGAAAAACTTCAAAAATCATCAGCCATAGGTCTACATGCTATAGAATCAGGCCACAAAATTGATTTTGACAATATTGAAATAATCCAGAAAAACTTCAGAAACCACAAAGAACGTCTAATATCAGAAGCACTTCATATCAAGTGGAATCCAAATTGCCTGAATAGGAATGATGGACTAAAACAGAATCTAACCTGGCTACAACACCCTCCCCCATGAAGTAGCAAAATCAACGCAAATGTGGTGAGCAAGTTCACTATGTAAACGCACACTACTTTCATAATTCTACACACTGACAAAATCCAACAATCTACACTTGGTTTTACTATCTTTACCAGTTCGCTAACTTGACAACAAAAAACGACCCAGACTGATGAATGATGATCAAGTATTTCACATTCTACACTTAGTTTGGTTACCTTTACCTATTCTCGAACTTGACAACCAAAAATGACCCCAGACTAACGAACGATGATCAAGTTAGTAAACTTTATTTTGATATAATAACAGATATACTATTACCTTTGATATTTGGTTTGAACGATCTTCATTGTTATTTTGACTTTCAATATGTCCTTTTAAGTTGAACTAAGTCTATATTTTTCTCACCCCCTAACTCTTTGTTATATATATGCTGAGATTTTGTAAATTCCGGTTTAATAATACTTTGAGAAAGCTATTAGCATTAAATAGCGAAACGTCAGTAAAAACAATCTCGTTTTGTTTTTTCATTCATTGGAAAATACAAAAAAACCTCTATTATAATGAATATCATATACCCAATGCCCAAATATTTTCAAACCGTTAAAAGTGAACTTGGTTTGGATATATATAGTTAGGTCAAGTAAAAAGGACATATTCAAGGTCAAAATAACAATGAAAACCACTAAAATAAAAATAGCAGAGGTAATAGTACATTTGCTATGGTATCAAAACAAAATTTACCAAAGAAGGTTTAATGTGATGACGAATTGTTTTTGAACGCATAAAGGTGACTTGAACTTTCTATTTGCTAGGGCTTCCACAAACTTTAGGATACGCCCTAAACACGTTTTATAGATAGGTTTAAAAGATCTGTTAACATCAATCTCATGTCCTGTCTCTATAATATGTTTTGCAATTGAAGAGCTACGTCTCCTGTTCTCACCGGTAATAGGTTCTGAAGGTTCCATTTGTTAGGAATATTCTCTGAAGCCCTTACTGGCGGAGATCGATGAGTCCTCCCTGTGTATGTGTGTCCACACGTACATTCAAACTGGTAAATGCAGTGAGATGTGATGTCATTTCTCGCATGTTCGAAGGATTAGATAGATATATTGGCTTTGCATTCTCTATTATTATGATATTAGCTGCATAAAAAGTCTTTTCAACAGCAGCGTTAAGTCTTTGTCTAGTTATCAATCTGCTTTGATGCCACATATAGGGTAGCTTGACGCACACGTCTTTCTTAGGGGCGAGTTGGAGAGTGGGTCTTGGTGTTCTGACTAATTTATATCTCCCGATGAACTTGTTTGGATAACTGTTATCAACCAGAGTCTGTGTCAACTTTCTTTCTTCTTCATCAAGTGTGTCTTCACTCCATATTCTTTGAAGAGGCACCTTACTAAGGCTCTTTTGTACCGAACAGGTCAGAAACTGTGGTAATTAAGATACTGTCCTGTCCA